TTACCCATGATAGAATCTCATTTTCAATTGAGATTCTTATAGAATTGGATCCAAAATTTATGCTTAATGCGACCTTATTGAGCTCAAGAAATAGTATAATCTACATCAATTGGATCATGAACAAATAAGTCAAAATGCGGCAAATAGGTCAATATGACTTGGATTGTCTCTTTCTATTCTCAAATCTACTCAAATCCACCGCTTCAGATTTATTCGCAATTCGCTCGTGAGGTCATATTTGCATTTGAAGCAAATATTATACTCCGTATGTAGTATATATTTAAATGAAAGATTTAAATATTATATGAAATATTATATGTAGTATAAAAGATTTCTTTTGAAAAAAAAAGTATGTAGTATATATTTAAATGAAAAGGAAATTTTATTAATGAGGGGATCGAAAAGATTACAGGAAAGAAAGAAAAAATGAAAAGGAAAGTAGAAGAAAGAAAGCAACAAGAGAAGAATATTTAAGAATGATAAATAAATAAATAAATAAATAAATAAATAAATAAATAAATAAATAAATAAATAAATAAATAAATAAATAAATAAATAAATAAATAAATAAATAAATAAATAAATAAATAAATAAATAAATAAATAAATAAATAAATAAATAAATAAATAAATAAATAAATTAATAAATAAATAAATAAATAAATAAATAAATAAATAAATAAATAAATAAATAAATAAATAAATAAATAAATAAATAAATAAATAAATAAATAAATAAATAAATAAATAAATAAATAAATAAATAAATAAATAAATAAATAAATAAATAAATAAATAAATAAATAAATAAATAAATAAATAAATAAATAAATAAATAAATAAATAAATAAATAAATAAATAAATAAATAAATAAATAAATAAATAAATAAATAAATAAATAAATAAATAAATAAATAAATAAATAAATAAATAAATAAATAAATAAATAAATAAATAAATAAATAAATAAATAAATAAATAAATAAATAAATAAATAAATAAATAAATAAATAAAGCAGAACCCGAAGTGCAACAAAAAAAAAGCCTTCCCAAGAGAACCGTCGAACTAACTCAAGCTATGAAGCACGGATATTTCACTAGGGTGTCGTATCGGCGTATCGGAAATGTTCCTGTATCCGATACTCTAGGATACCAGTACCGTACGTTCCCAGGCCGTATCTGCAATTTTCAAAAGTTTCCATTTTTTTGGTAATTATTTTAAAATTTCAGATACTCGTATCCTGACGGATGCCCGTATCAACTTTTTGTAATAAAAAAAAACTTCCAAAAAAAACTTTAAAAAAAACACTTAAAATTTACATAATAAAATTCTTAAAAAATCGAAGGCTAAAAATGATTTTTACCTTGTTTTTATGTGGTACACAACTAATGGGCTTATTCCTAATTTACGTACCCATCCTCTTATCCCTGATTCTAATTATCCCTAGAAATTAATAGCTCCTACGAAAATATGTATTAGAACTTTTAAAATATTATTTTCTACCTTCATTATTCTAGAACTTTGAGTACTTACACTTTTAATTTCAAAATTGTAGTTGTTTGACTTATTTCTCATTTTAAATTAAAGACTTATTGAGTTATTGACTATATAAATATTTCGAGGTGCACTAGTATATATGAGATGAAGAATGAACTTTTTTTTGAAGTATCTTGAAAATGTAAAATGTTTCAATAATGCCATGAATGAGTAGACGTCAGAGGATAATATATGTCTATTTTAAAAATAAAAAAAAGAATTGTATGTTTAATATTTGTAAATACACCTTTGTAACTTTTAATATTTACACATACACCCCCATAACTTTTAATATTTATAAATATGGCCCCGTTTTCGTATCCTACTTTTTTTTATTTTGTCGTATCCCCGTACCCGTTTCCGCGTTTCCGCGTACCCGTATCGGTGCTACATAGAAGTCAAGTACTCAAAATTTTACACTTGTTTGTGATTTAGTCTTGACCCTTGATATGATGTGACTGCCGAATCTTTTTGTTGTAGGGAGGTAGTTTTCTTTACCGATCAATAAAACTTTGTTACAATCTCTGTTCTAAAAATCGTTCTAATCGTCTAACTACACTACAAGAAAATGACTCAATAATGAGGAAAATATAATGAGACTAACAAATTCCCCTCATTAATTGTGTGTTTTGAGAGTTTTTAATGACGGTAAAAAAAATCCCTCATTGAAACTAATGTTATTGGTGAGAAATTTTGAATGAAAACTACCGACCGTCATTATTGCTCTTTGTTGGAACTTTGGCCTCACTTTTTCCCCTTGTCCGGCCACTTGGGGTTTTTATTTACTTTTTAAAATACAAAATACTCCGTAGAAGCTAGGGCTTATTACTTTTCCTTCCTTACGACTCTTCTCTCACTTTGGAGCCTCTTCAGCAGTTCGGCCGCAACGATGGACATCGTGATGAGCACAATCGCCAACACCATAACAGTGTGCTCGAACTGCAAGCTAAGCAACAGCAGGACCTCGGCGACCTTCACCTACTTTAATTATCTTCTCCAGACCTTGAGACTCCTTCTTGAGCGATTGAGCTAGATCTATGGTTTAGTTGGATAGAGATCTCAACGGCATGGATATGGTATGAGGAACTCTTATATTTTTTATACTTATTAAGTTATAAACGCTTGTACTCGATCTTCTCTCTAATCCATTTGAGTTGAAGCCATGTTAGGCTTGATGTTCCAGACTCTGTTTTTTCTTTCTTTCAGAATTCCAGATCCAAAATAGTGTTTCATTAATTCTTATAAAACTTGTATCTTACAGTTGTTTTTTCTGTTAAAACATGTGTGTATTCATTCTGGATCTTGTTAGCTTCCCTGGAGAAACCGTTTATCCCAGGTTCAATCTCCTATTCTATTTTTATTTAACCCTCTTTACTTGTAATGAGACTAGAAGATAATTATCAGATGCTTTTCTAGTTAAATGTTCATATTGAGTATCGGAAAAAGGAAGTTTGTTTCATTTAGTTACCAAGCTTTTTTGTGAGAAGAATGTGAACAAATCGAATGACATATAATAGTGCAGCAATGGATGAAGCATTTCTGTCCAACAAAATGATGAAAATGAAGGTAATGCCCCATTGAAAATCTCACCCTTTCTCACCCTCTCAAATATTGTGTATTTTAAGCTTAATTTAACTCGTATTATTCATTTTACAAAGTTATTGTTCATGTTTTAATTAGTTCATTGCATAATACTTTGTGATTTTAATTGTAAATTATAATAGGTTCAAAGATAGGTGTGAAAAGAGAAAGCTAGGTGTGAAAAGAGGAACACCCGAAGAACTATTGGTGGTCAAAATAGTGTGATTGTTTTATATTGTTTTCTATACTTTGTCCCAGACTTCCGGTAGAAGATAGAAGATATAGAGCAGAACATTCAAGTATTCAACAATGGCAAGGAGATGAAGAGTTGTTTCATTTATATATGTAACTCATATTTGTAAAAAGTTATGCATCCTTGCATTTTGCATCCATAAATTTGTATTTGTAAGATACTCAATATAGTTCCTCCTTATGGCTGATTAAAAATACGTAGTATAAGTTTGTATACTCATTTGTATTAGTGTGTTTTTAGTTTTTTATATTTCATTAAAAGCTTGTCATGATAATCTTTGCAATAACCTTGGAAGTTGGAAGCAAATGTAAAAGTGATTCCAAATAAGTTTTTTGTTTGACAAAATAATTGGAATTAAAAATATGAAAATGGCTGGATCAGAAAATGTATTTCACCATGAAGTTAACTTTTTAATGAGAGTAATTTTTCTCTCACTATATGCTTCTAATGATGGGATTCTCATCCTCTCATTAAAAACCTTTAACTACGGAAGCTATAATGACGGGTCGTGACGGGAAAATTCCCGTCATTAAAAATATTTAATGACTGTATTTTGATCTTTGCTCACGGGTTCTACCGTCATTAAAAGCAATATTTCTTGTAGTGCTAGTCCCCGTCTAGGCGCTAGGCGGTGGTCGGGTGCCCCGATTTTTGCCTAGGCGCTCCGACTAATTTGTTTACCGTCTAGGTGAATTAGTCGGCCATCTATGATGCCTAGTTGTCCATCCAGAGCGCCTAATCATCCACCTATGTCATCTAGTTTCGCCAAACATTACTTTACTTTGTAATTTTAATTTTATAAGCGATATAATTCCTTTAAATTTAGCCCTAGATATAAAGAGTTGAAGTTGTAAATTAAGATAAAGACTATATATGTTTGTATATATACCTAAATTTTATTACGAGTATTATTTATATTTATAACATAAAGATGTTAAATGATTAGTTATCATATACTACTATGATTAAATATGATAATTCTATCATTCATGTTTATTAATGTATATGTATATATGTATTTTATACACATAAGAATACAATATTACTTATCATATTTGTGCAAAATACAGATAAAAATGCAATTTACATGTCTCCGACTAGTCCCCGACTAGGCGCCTGCCTAGCCGCCTAGGCGCTAGGAGCTGGGCTGACGCCCGACTAGCGTCTAACGCCTTTTAGAACATTGGTTACAATTATCCTGGTTCATAATGGAGTCCCATAGATCCTCCATTGATGAAATCGTAGGAGACCTCTTCTCGATTTATGGAGCATGGCCAAGAAAGTCATCCTTGAGTGTGTACAAAATTTATGTTTTATATTCCGCTTAGTTGTTATGTAAGTTAGTTGGCAAACTAACTTACCATAACTAACCATTGGTGATTAGTTATGTAATGACCATCAACAAGAGTCAAGGTCAATCGCTTGAAAGAGTAGACATCTTTTTACATCCCGCATGCAGTGTATACTCATGGTCAGTTGTATGTGACAGTATCTAGGATTACAAATCGATCAGGGATAAACTTCATGATATGCATGCATGTGATGATAAAGACGAGTTAAGCAATTCTACACTTAATGTAGTGTACAAGGAGCTCTCCAAAAACACCCTCACAATTAAAACACCCTCACCATTAGAATACTTGTTACATGCAAAAAGAAATCCCTTGAAAATTTTGGGTGTGCAGGAGTACCTTTTTCTTCATTAGTAGGTCTCTTATTTAAATTGTCTCGATTAGCGAAAGTAGAGGCAAGGATTGTTTCGAATTCTTTGATTAAATGTTGTGAATTTGAGCCACACTTTGAGACATGGTGATCAATTAATCATAAAAATCCTTAATGTGTGTTGATGAAGAGTTAATTCCAGGTATAAGTTCAAAGCTGTAGAATTCAATACTAGTGGTTTCTCAAAGCGTGCAAAATCATCAATATCAATTCAACTTGTAACAAGGTTGCCGAAATAGAAAGTTCATTCTGATAGGAGTGTCCCAATCCAAGAAGATAAAGATCCCACTCGAAATTGGAACTTTTACCTGATAAACCGTCACAAGAAGCTTGTTCAAGCATCAAAGTTGGGGATTTGGCTGCTATTTCTTACATAAAAGTAAGTTCTCTAACAGTCCCTATCATAAAAAGGTTAATCCCCAGTCCATTCCTTACAATATAAATAGAGTTACAACCCTACACAATGATGCGGGAGAAACCATGGCCACTATTTGTTTGAGAATGAGAAACAAAGAAATATCTTAAACAACTGAAACTTCTAGTTTCCCAACAAGAAATCGCTATCAAGTAGACTAATTCAAGGCCACATTTAGCTATCATTGTCTTTTTTTTTATATCATTGTCTATTACAGAATATAAATTTGAACAAAGTTGGAATAACGATTTACCTTTGTGAACTTGTTTAACTCCAAGTCCATAAGCTCAGCTTTAAAGTGAAGCAATATACCTAAACTTCATGTAATATTAGGGTATACAATGTCAAGGTCTATGATGTTATTATTTTTAGCCGTCCCTTACCCCTTCCTGCTATACCTATTTGGTTAACTCGG